CGGGCTTAGAGGCCACACCATCAAGGCAACTGATTGGGTCTTTGAGTGAGAAAAGCTTGCAGCCATGTTAGTAATTTGCCAGAAATGCCATAGTGCTGGAGCTTATTCAGTAAGCGACTGTGGGGGACCTTATCAAAAGCTTTACTGAAATCCAGCACAATGGCGTCGACCTGCTTATTTAGGTCTAGAGTACTAGCCAAGTCATGGGTTGTCAAAAGTAGTTGACTCTCGCATGATAGTCCCTTACGAAAACCGTGCTGTGTCGAAGATAATATATTATATTTATCGAGGTGGCTCATGGTATGGCTATGTATAATATGTTCCAAAACTTTGCTACAGACTGAGGTGAGTGACACCGGCCTGTAGTTAACAGGTGAGGTTTTATCTCCCTTCTTAAAGATGGGGCTAATATTAGCGGCTCTCCAATCTGCTGGGACGTCGCCGGTGTCTAGTGACTGTGTAAAAATAACCTGTAACACAGGTGCAATTTGGGTTGCTGTGATTTTTAATAATCTTGGTGAGAGTCCGTCTGGGCCCGAGGCCTTGTTTGGATTAAGCTTAGAAAGCTGTTTAGCGACACCATTCACCGATATGTAGAGAGGTGGTGCGTGCGGAGCCACAGGTCTCCCTAGGGATGGCATGTTGGTTAGGTCCTCCTCTGTGAAGACAGAACTAAACTGATCACCCAGGGCATCTACCTTCTCCTTTGGGTCTGAAGTAAGCACACCATGATGCCTCATGGCTGCAATATTGGTATTGTCGTGTTTTAGTGCTTTTATATAACTCCAGAATGCTTTAGGGTTGTCTTTAATGTTTTCTTCAAGGAAATTGGCGGTGTACTCTCTGTGGGCTTTTTTAACTCTTTGCTTAACCGCTTTTCTGCATGACTTGAATTTGGACCATGTTTCTTTTGAGTTAGTGCTCTTAGCTTTTGAATAGAGTTTGTCCCTTTTACGCATCGCCCTTCTAATTTGGGGTGAAATCCACGGCTGGTTATGTAGGCATCTCGCCTTCTTCCTAGGAATGTGTTTGTTTGCTGTCGCTAGGATGTTTTCTTTAAAGTCTTCCCAGTTTTCCGAGGCTGTCCTTTTATTAGCTCTTTTTAGAAAGTTATTACTATAGGTTTCCATGTCCTTCTGGAGTTGCTCCAAATTCCCCTTTCTCCACTGGTAGACTAGTCTGCCATGTTTGAGCACAAATAGGGACAGGGAAGGTGACGTACTGTAGGTTTTCATTTCTATCTCGGGCAAATGACCACCATGGGAGTCAACCTTCCCTGGCCAACTGGCCATGTGAATTAGAGGGGATTCATTCCTCAGCTAACCGACATCTTGCACACACAGTCGTCCCTCAGTAAGACATCTGGAGCCGCATAGTTCCCGTTTAGAACTTTTATTCAGCCTGTCACACGACCGGTTTCGCCTGTGTGGCTTCTTCAAGTGCACAGAGGCTAAATGACACAAGTAACATGAAGTTCTCACTTATATACCTTTCCAACCTTTCCAACTGGCCATGGCTATACGGCTACATTTTTACTGTTTTCAAACATGGGTTGTTACTCGTATTCTGAATGATGTTTTTTTTTTAATTATTTTTAACCTCCTTGGTATGATGTAGACTGCTATAACGTATGTAGTGGAATATCTTACCCCCCCAACAGTCCTGAATATCCCAGACTGACCCACGTTTTCCGCAGGCCCTGATGCCGCCTGCAGCTGGCTCCTCGTCAGGCAGTATCGACATGGAGCTGCTGAAAGAAAGGGAGATCGACAGGAGCAGGCTGCAGGGCGGACAGCTCCTGGGAGAGGGCGCTTTTGGACATGTCGTCAAGGCAACGCTGTCGCGTCCAGAGGAAGACGATTTGGTGGTGGCTATCAAGAAACTCAAAGGTGATTCAGCTGCTGAAATCCAACATAATTATGAACATTGCAGTGGCTAAGAATGTTATGTTATCATCAACTACTGTATATACTTTTTTTGCTATAATAACTTAAATTGTACACCATGGAATTCGAAAAAGACGTGCATGTTGTAAAATATGTCAGCATGTTGCTTTATCTGATTATTGTTTTTTAGTGGAAATATGTATATATGTATATGTGTGTGTGTGTGTGTTTATCCAGACGATGATGACCCTCAGGCCAGACAGGCCCTTCTGCGGGAAACCTGCATCATGTTGTTGTGCGGTAACCATGACAACGTCCTCATGCTAAAAGGCATCTGTTTTAGAGACGGTCAGTTTAGAATCTTCGTGGTCCATGCATATCTGTTTGTTTGTTTTCTGTTGGTAAGACATTTGCAAAGAAACCTAAGATAACATCCGACTAAACCTGAAAAAGGTACAACCATACTAAGATATTCCATTCTAGGTCCGCTCCAACTGGTGTTGGAATATGCCGAACACGGGAGTCTCCTTCACCTGCTGTGGACGTTACGTGCGGAGTCCAAACTCAACAGGACCGTTCTGGTCAACAAACGGCACATCTTCGAGAACATGATGGTAGGATTCTGCTGCGGACTGGAGCACTTGGCGACGAGAAGGGTAAGGACATGCTTGTCCTGCAGGTTCCATATATATATATATATGGGTTGCACATACAGTACCATATATAGCGCCCTATATATATGTGTGT